ATTCCTACCGTTTCTTGCGAAGTGTTTCGGCTTTATGGGATTATGTCGGTTTCTTGGGGGTCCTAAAGGATACATGGGGTCTTGTGACGATACCGGAGGGATTCCTGAGGATCCCCGAGAAACCTTGACAGTTTCGAGGGATTCCTGTAGAGATGGTTTCTTGCGGATTCGTGAGGATCCCTGGCGATCCCCAAAGGTTCTTGCTGAGTAATGATGATTCTCAGGGACCCCCCAGGATCCCAAAGGATTTTTCACATATTCCTGAGGATCTTCGGGAGATGCCTGCGGTTTCCTGAAGATGCCTGCGGTATCCTAAAGGACGCCTTTGGACTCTTTGGAGGATTCTGAATGATTCGCCGAGGATTCCTGAACAAAATTTGGATCCTTGAAGGACTACTGGCGGTTTCCCGCGGTTTCCTGAGGAGCCCGAATGATTCCTCACGGATTCCTCCAGAATCCTGCGAGATTCGAGTTCGTTCCTCAGGCTTCCTTCCCGATTTCTGAAGTTTTCCTCATGGATGTCTGATGGTTCCTGAGGATGCTTCAGGAAATTCCTGCAGGATTCGAATGGCTTGCTAAGGATCCGCAAGGATTCCTGCAGTTGTTTTGGGGTTCCTGCAGATTCCAAACGATTTCTGAAGGATTCCCGAGGAGTCCTGAGGATCCTTTTTCCTAAGATCCTGGAGGACTCCCGAAGGATTCAGGATGAGTCTTGGGGTTTCTTGACATTTCTTCAATGACCCTAGAACGATTCGTGTTGAATTCTTTCGGCCTGGAGAACTTTTGGAGGATTCTCACGAATCCCTAGATGAGTCCTGAGGGGTCCTGAAGCATTCCCATGGGTTCGTGCATTTTCCGGACGGGTTTCAGAGGGTTTCTGCGTATTCCTAAGAATTTCTATGGTTTCTAAGGGCCATGCGGACTCCTGAGGATAAAAAGATTTCTGAAGGATTCTAGCAGCAGTCCCGAAAGATCCTTGGGCATTTGTACGGATTCATGCCATATTTGGATGGGTCCTTGGATGACCCTCGAGGGTGAGGGTTCCTCGGCATCCTGGGGGGTCCTGAAAGATTCGCAAGGAGGATTCGTGAGATCCTGAGGATTCTTCGGGCTTAGGGATCCCTGAATGATTCCAGCAGGACTCCTCGGGATTCCTGAGGGGATTTCCGATAAGAATTTCGGAGGATTCTTCTAAAGCTCCTGCAGGATTCCTTGGGGTATCCGAGCGATTCGTGAGGGGCCCCGATGGTTCCTGTAGGACTCCGGAAAAAATCCAAACTGATCCCTGCGGATTCTTAAGGGATTCCAAGGGAATTCTGACGGATTCCAGGAGGCTTCCAGAATGATCCCGAAGGGTTCCGGGTAATTTTTGCGGATGTGTTTGGATTCCTGAACCATCTTCAAAGCATTCCTGACAGATCCCTGCAGCTTCGTGAAGGATTTATGAAGGATTGTGGAGGAGTCCTCGGGATTCTCAGGAGCCCTGAAGGAGTCCCAAAGATTTTGCTAAGCACTCCTGGCGATGCCCGAGGAGTTCCTGAAGATTCCTAGGGAATCCGGACGGTTTCAGGAGGGTTCGTGAGGAAATATGTAAGGATTCCGAAAACAACAGGTTTAGGATTCAGTTGGATTCTTCTGGACCTCTTGGGTTTTCAAAGGATCCCAGCAGATTTGTCAAAGGTCCCGGATGGTTCCTGAAGGAGCCCCCGGATCTTCCGAAGATCATTGGGGATTGTTGGGGGTTCGTATGGTTTCTTTTTGATTAGTTTGGCTTCTTTTGGATTTCTGAGAATTTCTGAATGGATGTTGGAAGGATTTCTGCGGGCTCCTGGATGTCCATGAAGGGCTCCGGGGGATTCCCGAATATTCCCGAGGAGTTCAAACATATTCCTGAAGTATTGGGCTCCTCCAGATTTATGGGATCCCTCCGGGGTCCTGAGGGTTCCTGACCATCCTTGCGGATCTCCAGGGATCCTAGGGGATTCCTGAAGGCTCCCATGGTTTGTTGAAGGATCCGTTAGGGTTCTTGATGATATAAATGAAATCATGTTGGTCCCAGAGAATTCCTGCGAATCCCTGAATGACTCCTGATGTATTTTTAATGACTCCCTATTTTGTCTGGGGATTCTTGAAAGATTCTTGGAGGACATCCGACTGATTCCGGAAGGAGTCCGGAGGATATCTGAGGATCCTTGAAGGTTTCCTGAGAGCCCCCCATGATCGCAAAAGAGTCCCAAACAGGACCCTGAAGCATCCTCTATGGTTCCTCAGGGGATTCGTTTGGATTCACATGGATTTCACAGAATTCCGTATGATCGGGGAGACTCCAAGGGGGTCCGAGTAATTCTTCATGTGTGGGTTTGGTGAGATTTGGGAAGAGCCCCCTCTTGGCCAATGCGGCCCGTTGCAAGGCTTTTTTGGGCACCTGCGAGGTGGTCCTGGGGCCGTCTTGTTACAGCATCTGTTTTCACATTTGCGATAACAGTTGCCGCAGGATATGTAGTAATATTTTACGTGCGGTCTGTAGTTGTACTTGTAGTGTGTCCTGCGGTAGAATATGTTGTGCAATCATCAGTGGGATCAGTTCGAAGATCATCTCTACGCGCAATATTCGGACAGGATTTTCATTACAATATGCAGTCGGATGCGCAGTCGGATGCGTAGTAGGATACGCAATGGGACCTGTAGTAAGACCATCCGTGGGAAATGTAATGGGATCGTACAACCTGTAATAGGACCACCTTTCGGGTGTATAGTATGGTATGTGGTGGATGTGCGTAGTGGGATGTGTTGTAAGATGTGCAGTGGGATTGTTCGTACTCTGTGCCACGGGATGCATCGTAGTATCTCAAGCAAGATTTGTAGCAGAAATGTTGGGCGGATCGGTAATCGTATATGCCAAATTATAGGTTACCATGTCCGTAGCAGGATCCGTCGTGCGATTTGGTAGCCGATGCGTTGTGTGACCAAAGCCTGGACTTGCATCACGATCTGTGGTCAGATCTGCCGTAGGATCAGTGTTACAGTATTTAATAGCTTCAGGCGTAATCTTTGTGGTGGAATTGGCCACCAGTGTGACCAGTGTGATCAATTCTACTATCGGTGGTGGGGCTCGTGCTACGGCCAATAGAAGGATCAGCGGGATGTCTGTGCCATGATCAGTTGTAGCGTGGTCTGTAGGGTAGCCTTATGTATATGCAATCAGATATGTAGCGGAGTCCTTGGTGGGATCCGTTGACGATCTGTATAAGCATCTGCATTTGGAATCGGGTGTCGCATTTGGAGTAGGATGCGTGGTGATGCATGTAGCTTGATATGTGTTCAGGTATGCCGCAGGATGTGTAGCCAGACATGCCGAGCGCTTTGCCAAAATACGCGCAGCGCGGCGTGTAGCATGAGTGGAGTGCATCTTGTAGCACTGGTATTGCGATGTGTAGTTCGGTTGTGAGGCATAACGGCAGTATGGCATGTAGGGATTTCGGCCATGGGGTACGTAGTGAGACTTGTAGTACCGTATGCAGTGGGGTATGTAGTTTGGTGCCTAGCTGTTTTCTTGTAGTGGGATGTGTAGTACGACCAGCATCGGATGTGCAGTAATACACATGTCAGGATGTATAGTTTATCCTGTGGTAAGATCGGTCGTGGGATCTGTGGAGACATTATGAGTAGGATGTGTAGTAGCACCTTCAGTGGGATATGTAGTCGGGTCCTTAGTGGGGGCGTGCTGATGCGTTCCTTCGCTAGACACACTCACAACGGAACCCTTAGTAATGAGCCTTCACTCATGATTTTTTTCAGTTAGCACCCCTCAGTAACGAATCAGGGGTAAGGGGTACTTCGAACAGCATCTATGATGAGGCTTCTGTAAGCAGCGTCGATGAGAACTCAGTGGTCGAGAACCTTTTAAGAGGAACCCGCACCAGGGTCTTCTTCATACAGGTTCCGTATGGAGGAACCCTACATTTAGATTATGTCTTTAGGGCTCTCTACCAAGGATTCTGGATTAAGCCCCCCCTGAAGGTACCTATACCATTGACGTTCCGGAAGGGTTCTGTATTAATGAATAAGTAGTGCGGGTTTTGCAGTGGTGACCTTTTGCGTTGGGCTCAAGAATAGAAGTTCCATAGTATTTAGTGTTTTGTCATGATTATTGGTACCCTTCCGTCGTCGCGCCACCTCGGCGGGAGCAAAAGGATTGTCACCGTGTTTTTGTTTGGCGTTTCGATATTGGGCGGAAGGGGTGGGGTGGGGGGTCTGGCTCTGGACCTCGCAGGCGATCGCAAACATGGATTAAGGGGGCGTGGATGAGCGACGGGTCCCTTTTCCACAGGAAACCGCGCATTCCCGCTGCCGAGCGAGGCGGCAACGACCGCATTTGGGGGAGGGCACCTCCCCCGATCCATGGATTTTGCGACCGCGCGCCGAATCAATGGATCGCTAATCCATGTTTGCGCGCCCCCGACTATCAGCAATCGTGGGGTGCTACGTATTTCAATTCTGGTGGCCTCTTGTTGGCCTCTGGGCTTCCAAGGCTACCGAAGATGCGCCCATGGGGGCTCAAGGTTGAGCTCTGAGACCATCGTAAGTTATATTACCAGTGTGCATCCCAGTCACGGCTCCGGGGCCTATGACAGAGGGACAGTGGGAGGGAGGAAAAAAGAAGCACATATCTTCGGAGAGGCAGAGAACATCTCTTTCTCTCTCTCTCTCTCTCGCATTCCCGTTCCCTCCTTTTTCGAACTCACGCGTCATTCTGCCCTATGGGCACTTTTTTTGCCGGATGCAGGCGTGCAGGCGGGACGTGTTGGAATTGAGATGGTCGGAGAACACACGAAGCAGGCATGGGAGCCATGTCCATTGCGGGTGGTAGCAAGAAGCAAATCGGCGGATCTCTCGGTTTCGAGCGTGGCATGCGGCATTATGCCTTTCGTCTGTGCAAGCGGGCAGTGCGATTTTAGCACGGGGAGGGGGGCTGGGTGCTCAAAGCTGATGGGAGCGAGGCCCCCGAGAAGATCGAGGGAGCAGGCAGAGGCAAGCCACCCCTCTGTTCTGTCGCGGAGCCATGCCAGAGCGGACGGGGGAAGAGCGTGCAGGTTTGAAGAAGGGGTGACGCGCGAGAGGAGAAGGAGGAGGAGGACGGGGAGGAGGAAGCAGAGATGGGCATTGGAATGGACGGCATCTACGTCGCTGCTAGGAGCACGCTCGAGCACCTCAGCAGATCACCTCGGCGTCTTGGAAACCATGCTGAGGCGGTTTTCGGAACACTGGCGCTGGCAATTGCTCGCAATCGGTTTCGATCTCGCTGAGTTCTGGCTCATCGCAGCCTGTCGCAGTCGCGGCAGTCGTTATCGCGCGCCTGGCGTGGGGTTGCGCAACTTTTGTTAGCGATCAGCATGTGCATGTCGTCAGGATGGAGGTTAGACGGAGGACCACAACGCATGTGCAAGTGCGCGAGTCTAGGGGATTATTGAATGTCCGGTCGAATTTGCGTAGCTCAGCGTCGGCGTCAGTCGACTCACCAGCTTTAGGGAGTGGAAGCATGCCGTAGATGAGGAACGCTGGAAAGGCTCTGGAATTGCCACGGCGCCCGGTGCATCTTCCAGAGCCACCTGCTTTCAGAGGACATATGTATCCTCAGCCAAGTTTTTCCTCGTCTTAACCAAGTCCCACTGTCCCCAGGGCGCCGACGGCCTTGTGAGCACCAGCGCACTATCCACCTCTGGCACGAGCGATTTGAGCACCACACCTGCCTCAAAGGAAGGGGCAGGAGCCAGACTCTGTATATTCGACTTGGTTCGATTTCGAGGATTTCGATTCGATTCGAATTCCAATTCCGATTTCGGCTTGGATTTCTGTGCGCAGGCCCTGACGCGGGCTGGCGAACGTCCATTTCGATACGTTCCAATCTACCTGGCGCTTTCTATTCAGTCGGAGTAGTTCGATGGTTGGTTCGATGTATTTCGATTCGATTCTGAGGTATCCTGGGGAGGTGGGGATGGTGTCGCTGCGTCCAATCACGCTGCCGCGCGATCCGCCACCGCGCTGCGGGGCGAGCGTGAGACGGCGGGGAGCTTGGGCGTCCTGAGTTCCTCGCACACGCGACTGGGCCGAGAATGTTGTTCCCTGCTCAGGCCTGCCGAGAGGTCTCCCACTGCTTGCTCGAGCAGTCTCCCCTCACTGCAGGTGCCCTGGGCCCGTGTCCCCCTCCCGTGCGTCTCGCGAGCGTGCTGGGCCTGCCGCCGGGACGCGTCGCGCTGACGCATCTCGCGCTCTTGCCAGGGCGCCGGCCCCAAGCGCGCTGGCTCGCTGCCCCCCGCGGAGCTGCCAGCGGCGTCGCAGGGAGAGTCCGCTCGGAGCGTGCCAGCTCGCGTCGGGTGCACGGCACGCTCCCGGCGTGGTTGCCGCGTTTGCGGAGGAGGGCCAGTGGAGAGACAGCGGCGGCTCGCACGCCCAGCCCAGCTCCGCTCCGGATCGGCACGCCTGGGTTCCCTGCTGGGCCGCGCACGCTCCGCCGGCGGGGACTTTTGCAGACCCCCCCCCTCTTGGACGCGCCCCTGTCTTGGACGCTCCCGCTGGGGACGCCCCCGCCGTCTCGACGATCCGGTCCCGCCAGGGTCGTGGCCGCGTCGCTGCCGCTCGCGGCTGTCTGGGCCTCCCACGTGGGGTCGGCGCGGGTGCGGTGGAAGCACCGCGCCGCGTCGCCGATGCGTCGGCGATGCGGCTCGGCGCGGGGTTCAATGTTCGCCACCCCGACTGGGAGGGTAGGCGTCGACCTGCTTCTAGAAGACACACACATGTGTACACACATTTATAGGTGTATATAGATGTGTGTATATATTTTATACTTACTATATAATCCCTGGGGACGAGGACCGGGGGCCCGGGACGGCGACCTCGAGCGCGCATGGGGGTAGCGGGGCCTCTTGGGCGCCCCTGGGACGGCTCCCAAGGGCGCTGGAGGCCGCCTAACAGATCCAGATGGCGCACGAGCCTCGAAATGTAGCTTGCAGACGCCGACGATGGCTCCAAGAGGGCTCCTGGGAGCCTCTGAGACAGCCCAAGAGGGCCTCAAGAGCCCTCCCAAGAGGGCCCCAAGAGGCAACAATGGCCCAAAACGAATGTTCGCGGCGCTAGGGCGAGAGCTACACTTTCACAACGACCCGCCCTCGATTTGTAGAATTGTTGCCAATGTTTCAGCTTCAGGGCTATGATGGTGAGGACGTCTCAGGCGAAATACCCGGCCTGCCCTAAAACTAACCTCGAGGTGCGACAGGGACGCCAATCAATACGATGCAATACAAATCAACGCAAAGCAACGCCAAACAATGGCACCAGTGTCAAGTAATGCCGAGCAGCGCCAAGCAAGCCCAAACAATGCCAAACAATGCCAAGCAACGCCTCGCAATGCCAAGGAGTTCCAATTGATGCCAGTCGGTGTCAAGCAATGCAAACCAATGCCAGGCAACGCTTATCAATGCCAAGGAATTCAAGGCAACGCCCAGCGAAACCAAACAATGGCAATCAATGCCAAACAATGCCAAGCAACGCGAAGCAATGTCAAGTACTGCCAACCAGCGATTCGAAGCAATCTCAAGCGATGCCAAGAATGCCAAGCAACGTGTTGCTTTGCATTCTTCTGAGATTTGCTCAGGTCCGATTTCCATTGCCGTGGAAGAAATAAGACCTTTGATGTGGATCCCGTTGGGCTTGTTCTATCTATTCGCGATGGCGCCTGCCACCGGGGCCGGCTTTTTCTGGAGCCCTGTCCACGAGGAGCTCTCACGCGGCCAACAGATGACGAGACACACTTCGAAGTTATCGGTTACTGCGGCCTGATGCCCGTCGCGACGCGAAGAGGTTTGGGCACCCCAGGCGTAAGAATCCGCCCCCAGCCCTGCCCCAACGGTGCCGGCACGACGAATCGTGACGGGGGTGGGGGCCCAGGCAAGTGTAGCATTCCGGGGTGTCCTCTGTTCAGTCGCTTCGGCTGCTTCGCGGTCGGCTGCCTTCGGTCTGGACCCGCTTCCGCGCCGCCGCGCCCTGTGTGCCCTTCGAGGCCGCCTTCGGCCCGCCGGTGTGGGTCGGTTTTTCTGCGCCGCTGCCGGCTCGGCCGGCTGTGGTGCCGTCGCCGCGAACGCCTTGTGCACCGCTAGGGGAGCAAAAAGTGGCATAAACATAAAAACTCGGAGGTCCGCGCGGATTTCTCGAACGAAGGATTGCAAAAAAAAGAAGGATTGCAAAAAAACCCTTCGTTGCAATCCTTGGTTTTTTTTGCAATCCTTGGTTTTTTTTGCAATCCTTCGTAAAAGTGACATAAGCATGAAAACTCGGAGGTCCGCGCGGATTTCTCGGATCGGCGCTGGGGCCCCCCAGCGGCGCCTCCGGCGCCGCCCCTGGCGCGCGGGGAGGGGGGTCCAGCGCCGAGCCGAGAAATCCGCGCGGGCTCGGGCAAAGAGAACTATGCACATGCACCGATCCTGACGACGTCCATCCTTGACCCAGGATCGGTGCATATACCTTCCTGGCCAAGGTAAGAGGGCATATGCACCGATCCTGGACTCAGGATGGGCCTGGCCAGAATCGGTGTATGTGCATAGTTCTCTTTCCTCTACGGGCCTCCGAGTTTGTACGTTTGTGCCACTGCTCGTTCCCCTCGCCCGCGGCCCTGGCGACCGGCAGGCCGACGTGGCGCTGCTGCGGCCGGCGCGGCTGCAGGGCTTCGGCACCCTGCGGGCCATCCGCGACGCGCTCTTCACCATGCAGCCGGGCTTCACGCCCTCGGAGGCCGAGGAGGGGCTCCGTCTGTGGGGGTGCTCGGGGGTATGGGAGCTTGGCGTGCCTTCGTAATTCCCTCTTCAGAGGGCATTCGCGTCGATGGGGGTCGGGGAAGTCGATGGGATAGCGCCGATTTGGCTTCGGTTGGCGCCGGCTGGCCTCGATTCGCGTCGGCGTAGTGTCGATTAGCGTCGATTCGCATGAACCAGCCAGATGGAAGGCTCCCATGAGTTGCCACCGAAGGGGGTGCATTCTCTTCCGCCTCCATCCTCGTGGAAGAACTGCCGATGGCTGTTTTAGGTCTAGCCTTCGTGGTTGTGGTCGAGTCCCCGGCGTTGCCGTAGGAGAGGTGTGACCCCTTCGCCCCGCTGCCCGATGTCACGATGCTGGCAGGAGGAGATTGTGCCCCGCTCTCGGCGACTGGCGCTCCATCTGCTAATTCGTGACACGGTGTTTCAGAACTGCCTGGGGGGCTGCCTGTCACGCGGCAGCGAAATGGGCGATGATTATGGCATGTTGGGTTCCAGGCTCGTTCGTGGGCGTCAGTGTCATTGAGATGGCGACTGTGTTGTTCGGTCTTCCCAGTGCTCGTATGTCTTCGTCGCCATCATGCGTTTGCCCTGCTGCTGCCACCTCTGGATGCCGAGGGGGTAGGGCGTGGACCTAAACCTCGGAGGCTACATTCTTCCTCCGTGCCCCCACCCGGGCGAGTGGCAAGGGGGGGTGACCGACGTGGGGGTTGAAAGGAAGCGGCCCTCGAGTCCGAGGCGGGAACTTATCCATATCCACCGCCTGGGGGGTTAGTTTTCGGAGCCTCGGCAGGCGGTGGATATGGACATCACATCCACCGCCCGCTGGGGCACCAGGACGTCGGTTCCCAGGCGGTGGATATGGATAAATCCCCGCCTCGCATCAAGGGCCCCGTTCGGGCCCGTTTCTTCACCCCCCATTCAGGCCACCCCCACTACCACCCGCCCGACTTGGCTCTTTGGAGGCCGGATTCCTGGTGCGGAGTGGTGCGCGAAGCGAGGGCCCAGCCTGTGGGCATCGGGACGGTCGGGGTGAGGAGGGCAGGCCCCGCAGCAGTCCGGAGCAGCTCGCGTCTCTTTCGCCAGGAGGGGCGGGGCGAGGCTTCTTAGAGTCAGGCGATCGCAAACATGGATTCAGGGGGCGTGGATTAGCGACGGGCCCCGTTTCCACGGGAAGTCGCCTATTTCTGCCACTGCACGAGGCGACACTGGCCGCGTTTCGGGGAGGGCACTTCCCCCGATCCATGGATTTGGTGACCGCGCGCCATACACCTCAGGCGATGCTTAAGAAAACTTAAGTTTTCGGCCAGAGTCTCGATTATTCTTAACGTTTCAATGTAAATCTTAAGATTTTGATAGAAATCTTGGGTTTTTGTTCAAGTTCTGAGACTATGAATTTCTTAACCCATGATTTCTTAAGCATTTCGCAGGGTGTATCCATGGATCGCTACTCCATGTTTGCGCGCCACCGATAGAGGCACCCCTGCTTCTTAGAGGGCGCGGGCCCTGTCTGTCGATGCAGGGTGTCAGCGCCTTCTGAGAAGCGGCCTCCTTGCAAGAATCAGGAGGGGAAGAAACACACAGACACAATTAATCGTCGATTCCCAGGAAAATATGCGAAAATATGGGAAGTGGTGGGGAAGACAAAAACCCAGAAAATATGGAAAAATATGGGGAATATTTTTATTTGTGTGTATTTATTTGTGTGTCCCAGGGCCCCTTTAAAGAAGCCTTCCCCCCTCCCCCTGCCCCCGTGTGCGCTCCGCCAGCCAGCAGCAATCTGCGGCAGCTCCTGTCCCTCTTCGTCAGAGGAGCACGGGGTCATGATAATGATACGTTCCAGGACTTGCAAGGGTTCCAGGATGTCCCATATACCGCCGAATTAGCATCGGCTGGCATCGATTCGCGTCGATTTTGCGTCGATTAGCAGCGTCGACTACCGTCGATTCGCAAGAGGTGACGAGATGGTATGGGAGGCTCCCATGACTTGCAACAGGCTTGGGTGCAGGATCCTGCCAGATCTTGCAGGGTTTTGCAAGGCCTGACTGACCCGGGCCTGGATTGACCCGGATCAGTAGTAGGTCCCGGAGGAGGGCAAGGCGCTACCGGTATTGTAGCGATCTCGTGGACTGTTTTCGTGTTGATCTCGTTTCGCAGCAAAGGCGGAACGAAGGCAGAGCGAGGGAAAACGAAAACAAAACAAAAACGGAAAGCATTGTTTATGTCGAGCCCTGGAGGAGAGCGAGGAGGAAGAGGAGGAGGAGGAGGAAGAAGATGACGGGGGGGAGGTGGAGGCAGGGTGCGGAAGAAGAGGAGGAGTTGGGCGAGGGACCGATCGCTGCAACACACGCTAAAGTCTTGAGTCTCGAGCTGGGCGAGGGCGAGGAGGGAGGAGGAGAGGGGAGGAGGGAGGAAACGGCCCCCGGAGTCTAAGTTGCAAATTTTGTGAGCCTTAGGGGCCTTCACGGGCCCTGCGACCGTCAGAAAACACGGCTCAGGACGATGGGCTGGTCCCAAGGGAGGGCCCAGGGTTCCCGGGCATGCTTCTTTCAGTAACCGTTTCTTTCATGCCAGTGCGAGAGCGCCATTCTTCCAGTAGGAGATCGACTACAGAATTGTTTTCTCCAAGAATTGAGCGCTCTCTTTGTTTTTTTATATGTATATTCAACCAAACAGCAATGTTGGGGTAGATCGATTCTGTGGGTGATCTGCTACTCGAAGACTGCAAAGGAACCACCCTTCCTCGGTGCAGCCGTCGGCAACCTGATCGGACAAGAGCTGGAAGCGCCGATGTTGTCCATTATGATGGGCCTGCTTCCCACCACCACTACCACCACCATAAGGGGAAGGAGGAAGAGGACGGGGGAGAAGAGGCAAGACTCGACCCAGCAGGGTCATGCATCCGAATTCCCACGGAGGAGGAGGAGGAGGACGAGGAGGAGGAGGAGGAGCAGGAGGAGGACCCCCTCCCCCTCCAACTTATGGTGGTGGTGGTGGTGGAAAGCAGGCCCATCACATTGGGCTCGTAGGGGGGGCAAGAAGAAAAGGATGGAGGCGACGACGAGGCGGTGGATGTCGAGGGTGGCAGCGTGGATGACGGATGACGGGGATGGCAGCGAGGGGGGCTGAAGGACAACGAGTAGGAAGGCAAGCGCGAGGACGAGGAATAGATGGAGGAGGACGAGCACGAGGAGGAACGAAGCGGAGGAGGAGGAGGAGGAGGAGGAGAAGAAACAGAAAAAGGGCGACGACGACAAAGAAAGACGGTCAGGAGCCCGACGAAGAGGACGTCGAAGAAGAAAGGTGTCCTCGTGATCGTTTGAAGCTACCTTGTGGGTTGTTGAGGCCGTCTGGGGCTATCTTGGGGCATCCTGGGGGCCTCTTGGGGGCCTGTCGTGGTCCTCTTGGGGGCTACTGGAGTCTTCTTGGGCTGTCTGGGCATGTCTTAGGGGTTCTGTGAGGGCTCTCTGGGGCCATCTTGGGCCGTCTTGGGCCGTCCGAGGGCCCTCTTGGACAGTCCCGAGGCCTCTTCGGGCGCTCCTGCGGGCCTGTTCGGGTGGCTCTTACGGGGCCTCTTTGGGGTCTCTTTGGGGTCTCTTTGGGGCGCCTCGGGGGTCCCCCCTTGGGGGGGCCGTCGGGGGCTCCCTGGGGCCGTTGTTGAGGATCCCCACAAGCGATTCCAAGATTAATGCTGGCTCGGAGCCCCTTCAGAGCCGATTGTTTGTGGACGTCCCGCGCGGAACGGCCGTTTTTCAGAAGTTCGCCAGCGAAGTTTCGAAGTGCAGCCCGCATCCCATTGTCATATTACCACCAACAAGCGGTCCACGCCAGGGGCGCTTCCCGTCATCGGGAACTCTGCTGGTGTGTGTTGAGAGGTCTCTTGCGACAGCCCCACCTTGAAAAGTAGCTCCCCTCCATCTCATTTAACTTCTACAATCCTTTGCAACGAATTTGCGCGGCGCTGAAGCCTGATCAACATTGTGGAGGGACAAAAGCCCGCCCTTCATCCTTGTAGCTGTTGGAAGCGTAAATCAATGCGCGCGGCGCTCCTTTTGACACTCGTTCGCTTTCATTGTTTTGCTCGCTGGAAGCTTTCGGGACGACTGTGCGCAGTGCTAAGGCTGGAGCACATTCTGAAATCCGCTCGCACTCTGTCCTTGTATCTGCTGGAAAGTTGAAGACAAAGGTGCGCGTCGCTGAGGCGGGAGTCAACGCGATTGTTCAGGACCATAGCGGTGAGGACGTCTCAGGCGAAACGCCCGGCCAGTTCAATCGACACGTTAAGTGAGGCGATGCGGATGGATTATTCATTCGGAAGCGGGATGGAGGAGGATGAGGGTACTTGAATCTCTGCGATGATGCAATCCAGGCTTGCTTGGTGTATCCTGGGGGTACACTTGCTGACTTGCGGCGTACGGACCCAGAAAAAGGCCGAGAGGGAGGATGAAACCAAGGAACAACAGGAGGGAGAGGAGGAGGAAGAAGAGGAGGGTAGCAAGAGGAGGAGGAGGAGCAAGAGGAGGAGGAGCAAGAGGAGGAGGAGCAAGAGGAAGGAAGGGGAGGATGGAGGAGAACGAAGCAGGACTTTCTGGAAGCCGCAGAAGGCGATAGGGCGCCTGTCCCCAGGGAGTAGTTCCCAATTGCTGGTGGTGCAGCGAGCTGCTGTCTAGGGCCATGGGAGGAAGAAAGGAGGAGGCTGCGGAGGAGGAGGAGGAGGAGGAGGAAGCGGGAAGAGGACGAGGAGCACGAGGCGTGAGGTGCACGAGGCGAAGGAGGGGCTGGGAGAGAAGAGGAGGCGGGGGGGGAGCATGGGGCGCAGGGCAGGAGGGGGGAGGAGGGAAGAGGGCGAGCAGAACGGGTGAGGGGCAGGAGGAGGAGGAGGAGGAGGAGGAGGAGGGAAGCGGAGGTGTGCGTCCCGCGGTTTCGGGGTCCTCGTCGCCTGTCCCCTGGGGTGGTGGCGCGGGCGGGGGCGGGGGCGGATCGACGC